CGTCAGTGGCCATTGCTGAGTATATCCTCGTGATAGGCATAACTTTCCAGCGGTAGTTCGGTGTTTGAAAGCTTGGTAGTCGCATTCTATCTACTACTGCTTTGTGAAATCAAGTCAAACAACGCATACTTGATACAACAGACACTCACTAGCACCTTTGGCAGAGTTCAATACGCTAGATTGACAAACATATTTTCCCTAGGTATTAGTAAAACAAATCACTTCTCATCCATGGGAGAAATAATGTCTTATCTTCTGGGGAAAAAAAATAGCAAGGAACAACTTGGATGAGCCGGATATGTTCTCCTTCGAGCTTGGATTTGCACACCAGCTAACTTGACATGTAACCTCCATGTTGTGTTGATTGAAGTTGGCCTTGTGCCCTGTGGAACTGTCTAAATTGTGGAGATCCTCATTTGATTTTCAGCAGCCGAAGATTATGTACCTGTTTTCTATTTCTGAACACTCTAGGGGATACCTGGGCGAATTTCTAATACGTGCCGGACTGGTATTTGGAAAAATCCGTTATTTCCACTGTGCTTTCGCCGTGCTGGATGGTGTTCAGGTTGATCCTACTGATTTAAGCTCCAATTGTAAGGTAAAACTAGCTAAGAGCTAGGGGAGGGGGCGCGATGTGCTACCCTAGATCGTTTGGAGACAAAAAAAAAAAAAACGCCTTTTGGCGTTTCAAATTAAATCAACTGCAGTTACTTCGCGTGAGATTAGTAATAGTGTCATAATGTCTTACGTCAGTTCAGAAGGACCGAAATTACTTCTAATCACAGCGTTTCTATTTGAGCTTATCGGTAAATAGCTCAGTAATGAATCATTAAACCTAATAATCGAACATGCTAAATGCAACCAAGATTAAATACACATAATAGCTATGTACCCTTTTTACAGTTCAGAGTAAACACTTTAGCTGCACTCGCACGTTCTTTACAAAACCTAATATAAGACCAAATAGAGTATAACGAAACCGTACCTGTAACATAAGCAAGATTCGACAAATTGTGCTGACGTCAAATCACAAAAACCTCGAATGAGCTGATGTCGTTTCTGTTGACGACAGATGCGTCGTGGTGAGAAACGTCGTTTAAGGAAATGCACTACTTATCTTCCACGCAACAGCTTTTTAGCTGGACAAACTCAAGCGATGGCCAGTTCTGTTCGATGTGTCGACTAGAGAATATACGTTAGTATTGATGGACTAATTTCGATAGAGAGAAATCAAGTATTCTGCACGTGTGGCAAGAATGTGGTAGGCATCGTCAATTGATAGCTTAGCTTAAAGAGACTTGAGTGCTGTTCGTCATCGACCTCAGGTTCAGTATTAAAGTCTGCATGTCTTTAGTTCATGGTAAAGCAATAAAAACAATCGACGTTGTAAATATTTGCTTGGGCTCATCTGTGTATCGATTAAGCGAACTGTTTATAGTTGATGACGGTCATCATCTGCTCGCGTTTGCAAACGAGATACAGTAGAATATTGAGTTTGCTGCATCATGCACGGTGGGGTTTCCTTTAGTATCTCAATGGGACTGTAAGGCCACCAACAATGCATGTTTCCATGTACTAAGGTAGGGTTTAGCCTCCCTAAATCACGCTATCACGTTTTACTGTTAGTTTGATGCTTGCCCTTCAAAGTAGGCACCGCTTGAATGTCATGCAACACACGACCAAACGGCACGGAGAGTATTTTATAAGACGATGAGGAAGGGTGCATTTGTTTCCTCTAGCTGTGAAGACCAATGGCAAAATCGTGTTATAAACGATGAAAACTGTGAGCTCAACGAAGAAGATAGTCGGCTAATCAAAGAAGTTTCCATTTGTGATTGCAGCTGAAAGCATTGATAAACGAGGCATTGTTCCTGTTATCGATAAAACAATTTCAACTTGTTTTATTTAAAGAACATAACTGCACGAACAGTATGGGTGTCGATCTAACACAACCCGGTCATTTCCGGCATGACCAGCTGCGACGCAAACTCTATAGTACGTACACCCGTTGCAGAACTGGTTTCTCATTTCTGGACGCCAACAGTGCTATCTTCGGCGCAGAGCTTGGCTTGTGCCTTCTGCTCGCAGCCACGGGTGTGATAAACAAGATTGCCATTCTCTTTCGTGTTGCATTGACTTACTTCCCATTTGGACAGCTGCAGCTCACTTCACCCCCCCCCCCCTACCGTCTATCAAAATCATGGAGAAACCCACTTCAAATTTCAATCCAAGTCAAGAGAATTTGATATGCTTATATCCAAGTAAACGCTGCGACAATCCTCGTGGCATCAAGCGGAATGGCAAGCTCCACAACTTCTGCGAATTCCACCGCAACAAGGCCAATTACAACCAGCGTCGCCTTGAGCACAAGCGCAAGTACCAACAGGAGGTACGTCCTCTGGTGGACTCCCGTCCGAAAACACTGCTGCAAGGGATAGTGGATCCCAACGCAATAGCTTCGCCTCCAACGACCCTCGAGCCCGACGACATTTGGATTCTACAAGAGCTACTGGACGTTGAGAATGCGTCGAATGAGAATGCTGGTCACGCGAACTAAGAATCAGGTAGAGCAGAGTATCTCCTGCGCTTTTACATTGTTCTATGTGCGGACTATGCTGTGAAATAACTAGTTTGTAGGAGACTCCACATGACCGGAGATCCGGGGTAAAAAAAAACTGTGGTATCATCAAAGACAAGTGTTGAATGGAACCCTTGCCTGATGTTCAGTTGACAGAGTATTAGAAAACGGAGGGCTAGTGTGTTGACGTTGAAGTTCGTTGGCGGTTGGCTATCACATCGCAGCACCGTGAAGACAATATGGGTTGGATTTTGTTCAAATGCCGCTCAATACATCGAAAACTCCCAGTACTTTTCAATGCTACACAACTGCAGATACCGCTCACACCATATTCGCCTAGGCGGTTGATTTTGAGTTCGGATACACCTATGAGCTCAAGCAAATGTTTACAACGTCGATTGTTTTTATTGCTTTACCATGAAGTAAAGACAAGTAGACTTTAATACTGCACCTGAGGTCGATGACGAACAGCACTCAAGTCTCTTTAAGCTAAGCTATCAATTGACGATGCCTACCACATTCTTGCCACACGTGCAGAATACTTGATTTCTCTCTATCGAAATTAGTCCATCAATACTAACGTATATTCTCTAGTCGACACATCGAACAGAACTGGCCATCGCTTGAGTTTGTCCAGCTAAAAAGCTGTTGCGTGGAAGATAAGTAGTGCATTTCTTTAAACGACGTTTCTCACCACGACGCATCTGTCGTCATCAGAAACGACATCAGCTCATTCGAGGTTTTTGTGATTTACGTTAACACTAAATAGAGTATAACGAAACGGTGCCCTTTTACGTACACAATTATTATAAAGGGTTCAATTCCTAGCTTCAATGGCTTCATTACTGAGCTATTAATCGCTAATCGCAAACCTGAAACGGCCGTGTCCAGAAGTACATACAATTTCTGTCCTTGTGAGCTGATGCAATAAATTAAGAAGATATTACTATGTAATCTCACATGAGGTTACAA